TCTCTTCCGACTCCCCTCACTGCCCAGGACACGCGCACTAATCGCTAACCCTGCAAATGTTTCTCTCATGGCCTTGCTGCAATCAATTACCAGAACTTTTCACCTTCCCTTAGAGACCCCCAACTCCCGGAAGGAGCCCCCAGTCTTTAGCTGATGGCTCAATGGGCTCAAATCTCGAGCTGGGGGCAGTGGGTTCCACCTCCAGTATCCTCTGCCACTGACCTTTTGGGGTAGCTCAGTCTTTCTTAGTCTTAAGCCTCCTCCTTGGGCCTACATTCCCTACATGGAAACCATCACTGTGACTCTGGCTGCCCACTGAATTGTTCGGGGATTAAGGTTACTAATTAGCAAGTTGTCCAACCCTCCTCCAACATAGGTTTAGGGTGAAGCCTGAGGCTCAGTCTACAGATGTGGTGATGCCGTGTGGCTGCCTGGACTACAAATGAGTACTATTTGGGTTGAGGATGCTGAAAACGGGGCGGGTGGTGCACGCGGAGGATAGGAGGCATATGGGATCTATCTTGAGCTCAGTTTCACTGTGCATTTAAAACTGCTCTAAAAAAAAATTAAAGGCCTGATAGCACACGTACAGCTGCTCAGGAGAACAAACAGGAGGCTTCTAATTTTAAGGTCAGAGTGAGTTCAGTGCCAGCCAGAGGAACTTGGAAAGACCATCTCAAAATAAAAATGTGAAAAGAGGGCTGGGGGCGTGGCTCAGTGGTAGAGCCCCTGCCTAGAATCCCCCAGTGAGGGGCTGGGGGGTGTGGCTCAGTGGTAGAGCCCCTGTCTAGCATTAGAGGGTTTACCTCTCTAATATTACCAAAATATAAATAAAATAAAACAAAGTCTTAAAATGAATAGCTTGCAAAGAAAGGGAAAAGCACAGAAACGAGTAAGGAGGACAGTTGGAGGATGGACAAGAAGCAACACCTTCCTCTGGGGTTATTCACTGCCTTAAAGTTGAAAGCCTGGAAGCAGGTGTTTGGTAGAGGGATATCTGTCCCAAGGATCTTGGATGGTCTACAATTCTGGGCGTGTGTGTCTGGGAAGTCACGCTGATGTGAGCCCCCTGCTGAGTTCAAGCCATCACTTTAGGACACATTAGCACTTTGGTAGCAGCAGGACTGTCTTCCCTGGGGGGAATAAGGATGCCACCCCACAGCAGATGACACAGCATTCACAGACAAATGGGTTTTCTGACGCTGTTGTCACAAGAACACCTAGCCTTTCAGGGCATTTGGAATTTAGCAGCCAAGACCTGTGTTGGCCTGTGGACTTTTCAGTCTTTCTGACAGAATTCACACATACGTGTGTGTGTGTGTGTGTGCATGTGTGCGTGAGAGCATGTGAGCACGTGTGTTCACTTTTGTGTCTGTACATGTGGAGAGCTGAAGTCTGCATTAGGCAGGTGTTTCTCCTCAATTGCTTAAGGCTACTTTTTTTTTTTCCTTTCTTTTTTCTTTTTGAGACAGGGTCTCTCAATGAACCTGAAAGCTGGCTGGCCAAGGATCCACCTATATCATCAACCTCCATGCCCCTAGAATGAAATTACGACCATGCTCGGCTCTTAGCCTGGGTTCGGAGGCTTCCTCAAACTCGGGTCTTTGTGCTTATGCAGTGGACACTTTACCAAGCGAGCCACCTTCCCAGCCTCTGAGATAATATTTCATCAGATTTGCAAAGGCTTCCGTGTTCAGAAAGGCTTTGCCACTCTGGTTCGATTCCCTTCATTCTACGAAGAATGGAGCTGACCTGGACATGGAGCTGGCTTCCCCCAGTTCTTACACAGCAAGTGGGTGGCAGGGGAGGGTGGGGCCTCAATTCCCTTAACTGCTCACGAATGTGGGGTGGGCCCTGGAGCAGAGACTTTCCCAGCCTCTACCAACTCCCTATCCACTCAGCCCTCGCTCACTCAGATGCCAGAGGCTTGACAAACTCAGCGGACAGTCACCTGTGTAGGAAGTGCAGCCCGGGGCTGGGAGGTCAGGAGAGCTCCCTGGGTTTGCTGAGGTAGCTGGAATAGATTTGGCGTCGGTAGCAGGCCTGGGGAGACAAGAAGGCAGGAGGTCAGTGGGTGGGGCCAGGTGATGGAGGACTGGAGGCACGTGGGGGGACACCAGCTGGGCCGGGACCTCACCTGGCTGACTCTGCTGGGCCTGTGGCAGCAGGAACTGCGCAGGTGGCTGGAGGTGGTGGCCGGGGACAAGCACCAGCTGTTGGAGCTGGAGGAGTTGCTGTATGTCCTGGCAGAGAGGGGATGGACAGAAACACAGACTGAATCCTGGCTTGATCTCCGCCTTCAGCAGCATGCCAGCCCCCCCCCCCC